ATATACTGAAAATATTTTCTTGCTGCAAATATTTAGGCTTTCTTGTGTGAATTTCAGATATTTGATTTCTCAATGATAAGGCAATTTTGAATCTTTTTAGAGCTCTACAGTAGTCCCATCTACCCAGCAAGTGAAGACACCACAGACTTCAAATGCTCCTGACCTAAATGATGCAATTGTGAAACTATTCAATGACTTTGATGTTAAAGAAACTTCCCATCATTTAGTGATTTCTCATCTAGATCTACACATATGTGATGACATTCATGCTAAAGAAAAAGGTAATAAAATTTGCTTATTTCAAACTATTTTGGTTTTTCTAGAATTAACTATAAAACTGGGTTTTTTATTATATCTGTTATGTAGTATGTACTATAAGATAATTAATCATAATTTTATTCATGGATATATAGATGAAAGGAATAATTTGAAGCATTATATATTGACATGAAATTTTGTTTGGCTTTAGCAGTTAGGACTAAGCTGAATTAATTGTTAGCCATCAATGCTAGCATAAAATTAGTTTTCAAAAAAATCAAAGAGTGAATTGATAACACTTTTCTTGGAGGATGATGAAATATTAGACTTCCCTTTAAATTAACTTTTTCGTAATTTTGAAATTGCCCATAAATTATAGTCCATACTTCATTCATAATTATTTGCACATGTGTTTTCAGCACTGTAGTTTATACCTTTATTCGTATATGCCTCTAATTTATGGATCGTGTGTGTAAATGCAACTGTGTGGCTGTTTAACATATTTTGTGTGTCGCTCTCACCTCCTCCCAAAATTTGATTGGGAAGCTAAATTTTAGATAGGAATTTTTTCTTTTCTTTAAGCTTTTGTTTTCTTTTTTTTCCTTATTTAGTAAACATAGCAGGGTAAGCAGCAAGCTGCTCTTGGTCACTTTGAAAATCTAGCTGCTGGACATTTCTTTTTCTCTGCTGGAGGAGTATCTCGGGCCCACAAATATAGAGTGGGGTGGTTTAACAGGTAGGCCTACCCCAAGGACAATGGTTCTCAAACTTTGAGCATTAGAATCAAGCTGAAGATCTTTCAAAAATAGTTATCTGACCTGTGCACTTCTCACCTGAATCAGAATCTATATCTATGAAAATTGTTGCTTTCAATTTTTAAACTGAGAAAGCGAATACTGAGACCCTGGATACTTAGTAGTAGAAGTTACCCTATCTTAATTAGATGAGGAAGCTGCCTAAAAGAGTAGAGGGACAAAGGTGAGGATGATTTGGGGTTGGCAAAGGGATTTGTTGTCCTTTCCTTTGACCACCTTTGTATCATTTGGCTTAAAGTTGGCATCTTATACTTTAGTGATTTGAAAGAAAAATCCAAAAAAAGTTATAACAAACTAAAATAACAAAATGAGGTAGCCAGGATGAATACATTAACTGCCACGTGAGTTGTATTTTAACTCACACTAGTTTGGAGACTGGGGCCTTGTGAAGCATATGTAACTCACAGGTCTCTTTACCTTGGGAGCTGCATGGTGCTCAGGCAACTCATGCTGCCATGCAACATGATGAGTGGCTCCCTGGGCAAAACCTTGCAGTTGGTTCATGAAAAATCTTACTGTTGAGCTTCGTATTGTTACAATTAATATTGACAGTTTACTTGCATATAACTCATGCACAGAGAGCGATAAAAAATAAATTTTTCATTAAATTAGAAAGGATCATTTTGTTTTCAAAGTTTTTATTCTATTTTTGTAACAAAACACCATGGTCTCAGGGGAAAAAATTTTTTTTCTATTGTGGCAGTCAATGTGTTAAATAATAAACATGAGAATGGAGAAAATATTTTCTAAGCGCTGATAT